GAGGTGCCTTACTGAGGAAATAGTCATGTTGGATAAGCTTTCTAGAGTAGAAGGAGAAGGATTGACGTCTTGGAGCGGAGCTTCTCAACTTTTCTGTTGTTACCGACTGTTTGTGTTCTCCCAGAATTCATATGTGGAAGCCCTGCCCCCCCATGTGATGGTATTTGGATGTGGGGCCTTTGGGAGGTAATTAACTTTAGATAAGGTTATTAGGGTGAGGCCCCATGATGACGTTAGTGTCCTTATAAGAAGAGGAAGAGAGACCAGAGCTGATTCTTTCCTGCCACATAAAGACACAATGAGAAGTTGGCCATTTGCAAGCCAGGAAGACAGGCTTCACCAGACAGGCTGTCCCTTTGATCTTGGACTTTCCAGCTTCCAGAACTGTAAGAAATAAATGTCTATCATTTCAACCACCCTGTCTATGGTATTTTGTTATGGAAGCCCAAGCTGACCAAGACAAACATGGACTCAGTTCCCTGGGGATCTTGTTATAATGCAGATTCTGACCCAGTAGGATAAGCCTACTGAGATGGGACCAGGATTCTGCGTTTCTAATAAGCTGCTATTGCTGCTGCTGACCCATAAACCCCATCATAAGCATCAAATCCAAAGGATTATGATTTTTCCTGTCTCAAATTGTCAGAGTATTTTTAAAGCATGTATGGAAATCTGGGAGTGATGGCACAAGTCTGTAGTCCCACCTAGTACTAGGTTGAGTAAGGAAGACCACTTGGGCCCAGGAGTTTGAGGCTCTAGTGAGCTATGATCACACTTCAGCTTGGGCAAGAGAGTGAAACCCCACCTTTAAAAAAAAAAAGAAAGAAAGAAAAATAGGGAAAAGAAAAAAAAAAAGACAGACAAAAGAAAAGAAAAGCATGAGTGTGAGTTAGTTAGCATGACCTTGGGGATCAGACTGTCCTATGGGTATAGTGTGTGCTAAGAAGATTAGTGTATTCTTACCAGGTCAGTGTCCTGAAAGGTTGAGGTGATGTGCTCCCGGTATCAGAGTGTTCCTAGGTTTCAGGATATCTTGGGGGATCCTAAGGTCCTGGGTTTTCAGTTGTCCTTAAAGGGTCAGGGTGTCCTGGGGATGTCAGAATATATTTCTTGGGTGTAAGGAACCTCAAGAGGCAGAGTATTATGGGGTCAGCTTGTCCTTGAAGAATGAGCATGTTGAGACATCAAAGCAATTGCAAACTGTTTTAGAGTCTTGAAGTCTGGGGTGGGACAGGGAGTCAGGACGCCTCTGGAATTCAGATACTCTTATTGGTTAGGGTTTTCTGAAGATCTGAATGACCTTGGAAGATTACGGTATCCTGGGGGCTCTGAGTGAATGAAGAGATGATGTTTGGGGAAAGAAATCAGAGAGTACTAGAAACTCATTCTACAATTGGGTTCAGGTTGTCCTGTGGGGTTTGGCTGGTATATTCAGATATCAAGGTATCTGAAAGAGTACAGCATGCACTTGGTTTTTCTGGAAACAGGTCCTTGGGTGTCACCCCAGGCAGGCCCTGCTCTGGCCTTCCCCCACCCTCTCTCTCTTCTCCTCCCCACGGTGGGGTTGTAAGGAGGGGTCTTAGAAGGAATGCATTTTCTCCTCCTTCCCCTGACTGCTCCCAGGAGGGGATTTAATAGGACAAAAGAACCTGGTCCTCTGGGAATACGAGCTCTTGGCCCTGGTCCCTGGACCCTCCGACAGAACACCTTCCCTCATCCGGCTTGTGATCCTCCCCTGAGCAAGGGGCTCTGGTGATCAGGTAATGATTGGAGGGGCCCACAGCGGAGAGGAGGAGGTCACTCCTCCAAGACTCAGGGAAAGAGGAGTGGTGTGAGAAAGCAGGCAGTCAACAGGAAAGAGACAGCAGTGTGCTGTGGGGAGAAGGGGCAGAGAAGAATAGACACAGAAACAGAGAAACAGGTGAGGTCCAGACAGAGAATGAGATGACATAAGAAGGAATGGGAAATTAGGAGACAATTAGAAAAAAGGAGAGACAGTGAAAACAGATAGCATTCTATCTGTATCTACTCACACCCATTCAGAGACAGAGACTCGGGTATAAAGAGAAGTGAGATAATAGGTGTAGAGAACAACAGAAACAGAGAAAGACTGACCTAACATCAGAGACTCAGGGGCACAGGTGACTGGACCATCTTTGGAGTCTGTTGCTGGCCATGGAAGCAGAAGGAAGGAGTCAGCAGGGTAAGCTAAAGAAGGCGAGAGTTTGTAGCAGCCTCTTGCCTGAGAGCTGCCCTCCCGCTGGGACTATGACATCCATGATGGGTGAGTGTATTTTGGGGGTGCGGTTGGGTCCCCCAAGAAAGCAGTGGGTGTGTGGCTTAATGCTTAGGCTCCACGAGGCAATATTAGGAGTAGAAGTTAAAAACAGAATCTTAGCATGCTAGAACTGTGGGAACCTTAGAAAGTACAGGACAGTATGACTCCTTGACCTTACAGATGCAGAAGCTGAGCCCCCAGTGGCATGAGCTGCTGATCAGCTTGTACTATCGTAGGGTCAGAGGTACAGCTGATATCTGACCCCTAAATTCTGATTGCAGAGCTCCTCAGCCCAGGGAACTGTCATCTCTGAGGGAGGGAGCTGGGGGCCAGGCTTTGGATCTAGGAGAGCTGGCTCAGTTTAGGTATCTCCACAGTGGATGGTGAGTGTAGGCTGAGGGTCATGCCCTTGGGTCCCCATGGGGATGCTGCCTCAGCCCCAGACATCTCTTTTTCTCAGTGTGTGCCTTGCAGGTGTTTCCTTTTCCCTCCCTGTTCTCTCCTCCCTGTGGCTTTCAGACTAATTAGTGTGGGGCTTAGTGAGCCTGTGGAGGAGAAACAAGCCTTTCCCACGAGCTCAGGTTCCTGCAGTCTGGTGGCCAGGCCAGGGCAGGGTTAGGGGAGAAAATAGTAAGTGAGTGAAGGGAGGGTGTGTCTGAGCAGAAGAGGAGGAATGTTTCATCTTCCCAGGTGAGGGGTGCAGGAGGATGGGAACTGTATAAAGAAGGCACAAGTGGAATGTGAACCTTGACAGAAGGGACAGGAAATAAGATTCTTTCCTGGAAAGCTGGAATGGTTATTAGGGGTAGGGCAGGGCGCAGAGCTGCAGGTATTTGCCTGTGTTCCCAGAGAGGTGAAGGCCATCTGGAGGGGTATGTGTCTGGGGGGTGTAACAGAGAGAGGCACACAGTGGTGTTGCCAATGGACTGTGCCTGAGAGCCCAGGATGAGAATGAGTCTGAGAGTGTACCCTGTGGAGAGCACAGTCTGATGCAGGTGACTCAGAGGTGACACTGGGGTGGAGGCTGATCAGGCAGCAGGTTGCAGGAACAGGTGTTCTGAGTGCTCAAGGTTCCTGGTGGGGGAGTGGGGTAAACACAAGGGCAGTGGCAGGGGGCATGGAACAGAATCCAGGACCAGCACTGGGGTTGGACAAATGGTCCTACTCAAGGTGACTTCTCTTCTATCCCCTCAGACATGAGTGCTCAGGCCTACAGGAAGCTCTCTGGTGCCAGAGTGGGGAGACCAAGGCTGTCCCCACAAGGAGCACAGAGGGGTCGCCCACACTTTCGGCGACGCCACCGCACTACCTTCAGCCCAGTGCAGCTGGAACAGCTGGAGTCAGCCTTTGGGAGGAACCAGTACCCTGATATCTGGGCTCGGGAGAGTCTTGCCCAGGACACAGGCCTCAGTGAGGCCAGAATCCAGGTGATTCCCCAGGATTCTGCCTCTCTTTGGGAAGAAATGCAGATCTCTTTGGTGCTGGGGGACTTCCTGGGCATAGACTGTCACATAATGTTAGGCATTATAATCTTGACCTAAATGTCTGCTAGAACATATAAGGCCCCATCTAGCCTCAACATAACCTCCTCTGCATCACTTGAGTTTAACCTGAGTTCTAATCCAATATAATTTGAATTTCAACTTTTAATAGTGATGTGAATTCTAATAGAAAATCAACACTAACTGTTCGCATACATACCTAACCTTGTCTTAACCCTGGCTTGGAAATTCAATCAGCCCACTGCCCCTCATCCTAAGCCTTAAGTAAACCCTGCTCTAAATGCAAGCTTGTCTGTAACAGTTAAACTTATCCATAGTCTTAACTGCCAAACATAACCCTATGGGAAATTTCCCATTCTCTGGGGAGGAAAAATGTCATTGTTATCATTTATCTCTTTCTTTTTGGGAGGTGACATTTTTTAATCAAAGTTGCAGAAAGTGGGCAAATTTAGACACAGGTTTTAGGTAAGCATGTGGGTTTCACTTTGTTGGTAGATGGGGCTCAGCCACACCCTCTGGATGAGCATTACTTCTTCTGGCAATGTGGTAGAGGTTCCCCACCACCTGCACCTCCTATCAATGGAGGAGGGGCCGCCACCTCTTTGAGACACAGGCTCTGATGTGGCTATTCTTCCCCCCCCCCAGGTCTGGTTCCAGAACCGCAGAGCTAAGCAACGGAAGCACGAGAGGTCACTGCTCCAGCCACTGGCCCATCTGTCTCCTACCACCTTTTCTGGTTTCTTACCTGAGTCCCCTGCTTGCCCTTACTCCTACACAACATCACCTCCATCTGTGACCTGCTTTCCTCACTCCTACTCCCATGCCCTTACCTCCCAGCCACCTGCAGGTGGCTCCTTTGCTCTTCCACACCAGTCTGAGGACTGGTATCCCACCTTGCACCCAACCCCCGCTGGTCATCTGCCCTGTCCCCCACCCACATCCATGCTTCCCCTCAGCTTTGAACCACCAAAGTCCTGGAACTAAGGTCAAACAAATGCCTATGACCTTAGTGAAACACTAAGAAAATTGGGTGGCTTTCTTTCCTTCTAAGGATGAAGCAGAAATATGGTGCAGGGCAGCTCAGAGATTGGAAATTAAAAAATGGAAGATCATAATAAATTCTTACTGAGGTGATTAATGCAGACAATTTGGGAAGGCGAACTACTTAGAAGGTACAAGTAAAAATGCCTCAGAGGAGGTGAATGGTGGAAGGATGATCTTGATAGAGACAGTTGGTGAATGAGGATGATTAAAGGACACAGAATGGAGGGGCTTCATTCACTGAGGTCACGACTGAAGAACTCCATCCCAGCCCTTTGTAGCTGACTTCACTAAGGCTTTTGATTTAAAGTCTACCCTGTGCCTCCCTTCCTTGTTCCCACCCCACACTCCAAGTAGTCCCTAACTTTTGTTCATTCTGTTTTAGAAGTATTTCTCCAGTTTGCTCCTCTCCTTTCTGTTCCAGTGGAGATTTATTTTTTGGGGCTCCACAGATTCGGACTTACCATCCTTGTCAGTTCCCTTACCTCTAGTCCGTCCCACTCCCAACAGACCTCTGCAAATCTGAACATCAAGGAATGGCTCTCTAATAAAACATATGCAAATAAGATCTGATTGGCCTATGAAAGTCTCTAACATCTGCCTTCAACTAACTTAATCATGTGCACATTTTAGCAGATATGGTTTCTGATAGAGCAGAAGCCATTTGATTTAGGGCAAACTTTTCTAAGACCAAACCATCTGAGGCTCATAAAAGATCATTCCCAGGAAAGGACCTCTCTTTCACGAGAAATGCCTTGGTTTGAGCCTTCCCATAAGGAAGCCAATATAGCCTAGTTGGTGATACCATTTTTATGCCATATTGCTGGCATTATTTTATTCATAATTCACATATGTATATGTAGACCTACCTCCCTTATTGGAAAGTTCACAGGACAATCCTTAGTAAGTAGGTCTCTAGTGATGGATACTCATGTCGTTTGTAGTTTTATATATAGTATTTAAAAATCCGGAAGTTAAATTCCTGTATTACACATTTGCATATTTATCTATTATCACGTGTGACTGGACTGCCTTCTGGAAAGATTATACCAGTTTGCATTCCATCAAAGGTACCTGAGTATTGGTTTCAGCACATCCTTGTTGACCTTTACCATTTTCAATGATTTATTAACTGAAAGTGATGTCTCCTCGTTACTTATTTTTATTTTACTTTTTCTAGAGGCAAGGTCTCACTGTTGCCCAGGGTGAAATGTAGTGGCACAATCACTATAACCTTGAACTCTTGGGCTAAAGTGATCCTCCTGCCTCAGCCTCCTGAGCAGCTTGGACTTATAGGTACATACCACCACACTTAGCTGGTCATCCAGAAGTCATTTGTAGAAGTAGGGTCTTGCAGTGTTGCCCATGCTGGTCTCGAACTCCTCATCTCAAGTGATTCTCAGCCTCCCAAAGCACTGGGATTTTAGGCCCAAGGCACTGCACCAGGCCACTGATCATTTTTAAATTTTCATCAGCTAGTAGAGTTAACTTACTTTCGTGCTTATTGGAAATTTATATTTTTTCTGAAATTTTTCTGAATTATTTGTGTATTTTTATATTTAAATAGTCATCTTTTATTAGTGATATTGTGTATTAGGGATATGAATACATATTTGTATATGTTGCAACTATTTTTCACAGTTTTGTTATTTGTTTTTTAGCCTTTCTCAACAAGAATTTCCTGAGAAAATTAAGCCCTAATTCCCTATTGTATGTAATGAATTAACTTCTGTCTTAAACATCTACAACAGTACCAATTGTGTAGAATTGATAAAATTTAGAAATTAGTCACTCAGTTCATTTTCTGTGTTCTGTGATTCAAATGAGGAATCCCAGGACAGAAATTTATCTTTGCTTTTACTGGATTCACTCATGTTTTCTTCATTTATTTTGATCAGAAGGTTATGCCTTGAATCATCTGCAATGTATTTCACTAAGTACAATAAAATAGTCATATAATTTTATGACCCTTAATCAGCTAGTTACTTGTTCTGATATCATTTATATAATACATAGTAGTCTAACTTTGTCCTACTGGTTTGTAAAAACATCTATGTTCATACACTAAGTCCTCATATATACCTGTGACAATTATGGACTCATACTTCTTTTCCATCAATTAAATTCTCTATTCTGGTACCAATGTCACAGTGTTTTAATGATTGAAAATGTAAGGATTATTGATACTTTTATTTTTTTAATTAAATCATAGCTGTGTACATTAATACTATCATGGGGTACAGAATGCTGTTTCTATATACAATTTGAGATACTTTTATCCAACTGGTTAACAGCCTTCATGTCATTTTCTTAGTTATTGTGTTAAGACATTTATATTCTACATTTAGACAGATTCATCCTTATAGGATGAATCATAGGTGTGATCCCACCAATCACCCTCCCTCCACCCATCCTCTCCCCTCCCCTCCCCTCTCCTCCCTCTCCCCTTTCCCCATATTCTTGGGCTAAAATTGGGTTATAGTTTTTCTATGAAAGCTATAAATTAGTTTCATAGTAGGGCTGAGTACATTGCATACTTTTTCTTCCATTCTTGAGATACTTTGCTAAGAAGAATATTTTCCAGCTCCATCCATGTAAACATGAAGGAGGTAAAGTCTCCATTTTTCTTTATGGCTGCGTAGTATTCCATGGTGTACATATACGAGAACTTATTGATCCATTCGTGGGTTGATGGCATTTGGACTTCTTCCATGACCTAGCGATTATGAATTGGGCTGCAATGAACATTCTGATACAAATATCTTTATTGTAATGTGATTTTTGGTCTTCTGGATATATACCTAGTAGAAGAATTATAGGATCAAATGGCAGGTCTATTTTTAGTTCTTTAAGTATTCTCCAGATGTCTTTCCAAAAGGAATGTATTAGTTTGCAATCTCACCAGCAGTGTAGAAGTGTTCCCTTTTCTCCATAACCACACCAACATCTGTGATTTTGTGATTTTGTGATATGGATTCTCTCAATTGATGCAGAAAAAGCTTTGGATAATATCCAGCATCCCTTCATGATCAGAACACTTAAGAAAATTGGTATAGAAGGAACATTTCTTAAGTTGATAGAGGCCATCTACAGCAAACCCACAGCCAATATTGTAATCAATGGAGTTAAATTGAAATAATGTTCACTCAGATTAGGAACCAGGAAAGGTTGCCCATTGTCTCCACTGCTCTTTAACATTGTAGTGGAAGTTTTAGCCATCGCAATTAGGGAAGAAAAGGTGATCAAGGGTATCCATATAGGGTCAGAAAGATCAAACTTTCACTCTTCACAGACGATGTGATTGTATATCTGGAAAACACCAGGGATTCTACTGCAAAACTCTTAGAAGTGATCAAGGAATATAGCAGCATCTCAGGTTATAAAATGAATCTCATAAATCTGTAGCCTTTATATATACCAACAACAGTCAAGCTGATACCCTTAAAATATTTAATTTTCTTATCCAAACACAAGGTGTATCTTGTCATTTCTTCTAGAGTTCTATGTCCTTCAGGAAAGTTATTTAAAAAGTAAATCTTAATAGGTATTTTATAAATTAGAAAAGTCATATATGCTCTCTGTAATGAGTCAATTCAAAAGAAAAAGACTATGCATCCAGAACACACACACACACACACAGACACCCTGGGAATGAGTACAAAAACTTAATGTCAAAATTAGTTTTCAGAAAATAACTTCAATATATTATATCCTTTATGAAAGTTTTAAATATACAAAATAAAAATGATTTAAAATTTTTTTAAATGGTTATACATTTACTTTTTCAAAGTATATGTTAGAGTTCATAGAGAAGAAGTAAAATATGAAAACAAGTACACAAACAACAAATACCAGTTTCTGGGCCCAGGAGTGGGGGAAACACAAAGCAACGCAGGAAATGCACATGGGGCTGCTCACTTTTCTCTGGGGTGCCTTCATGTTTGTTGTATTAGTTAGCCCAAAGACTTTTTGAATGTCTGAAATATTTTACAGTATAGTAATTTTTTTCTAGGCTTAAGAAAACTCAATTATTAAATAGGACAACATCCCAAGCTGCACATAGTAATTAAGCACAAAGTAATACATAGTAATTGTGCACATACTAATTAAGTTGGCCAGACATGGTGGCTCATGCCTGTAATACTAGCATGCTGGGAAACTGAGGTGGGAAGATCTCTTGAGCTTGGGAGTTTGAAGCCAGCCTGAGCTAAGTGAGACCCTGTCTCTACTAAAAATAGAAAAATTAGCTAGGTGTGGTGGTGGGTGCCTCCTCCCAGGCACTCAGGAGACTGAGGCAGGAGGATTGCTTAACCCTGAAGTTTGAGGTTGCTGTAAACTAGGCCAATGCCAGGGTACTCTAGCCTGGGCAACAAATTAACACTCTGTCTCAAAAAAAAAAAAAGTTTCAGTTAATGATTTCACCCACTAAAATCCTTATCTAACTCCATCATTAGAAGACAAACAACATTGTGTGTTTTGTCCACAAATTATTTACCCTGACAGAAAAATACACAAATATACATACACTATTGATGTTTCCTTTTTTAAAATAACAATGGGATTCTGATATATACATACATACATATATATATTCCTGAATGTCTCTTAAATAAAATTAACAACCTGTAAACATCTTTCAAGTGGATTGTATGGATTTTGTTTTCATCATTGTTCAGTGATAGTTTTATGGGCTACACAACCATCCATCCCTCTATTATCCAAGAGTCAGAGTTGGTTTGGTGGATGGTTTTTACCACCACGAATGCCACTGCAGGTATATTAGTAAAAGATAATTTTTTTAAGAAGGTAAAATCATGACTCTCAGAGATATAAAATAAACATATATTAAATATTTTAAATATTTATTAATATTTAAATATTTTTATAAATATATAAAATGTAAATATGTTAAAATATTTAAATATTTTATTTAACTCATTATT